TCTCCTTCAAGTCTTTTTAGCTCCAAAACCGTAATAATATGTTCCTTCTCTGCAATCTTCTTTTTAAGTACTTCAATTGTTTCTATAATTATTAAATTTTATTAAACTATTTTTAATATAATAAACTTCTTATATTATGATAAAAAATTTCCAAAATTTTGATTTTAAAAATTAGAAATTTTAAATTCAAATTTAACCTTCCTGTTCCTCCATATTTATTATGAAAAAAATGAAGTATATATGAAATCTGGACTGAATAAAATATTAGCTTAAATTTGTTGTTTAATATTTTTCTTGAAATATAAAATATTTTTAAAATATTATTAATGAAATTTAAACATAAATTAATTAGAATAATAATTATTATTAATTTTAAAATTAATTGATATATGTAAGTAACATAATTCCATTTATATTTTAACATACATACTATTTCTTCTAAAATTTATTTGGAGATTTTTTACGATTTATTTTAAAGGGGGAAAAAAGCTTGTTTTGACCTTAAAAAAGGTCAAAATATCTCTAACACTCAAAATTTTTTTCCTTTTTCCGAAAATTCTTTTGTGGGTGAATTATACTTTAGAAGAAATATTATGTATGTATCAGAAGTGGGTCGGAACAGTCCGAAATGGGTCGGAAATCGGAAGAGCCGGAAATCGGAACTGGCTCAAAAGTCGGAACTCAGAAATCGAAATCAAAATTTTTTTCGGAAATCGGAAATGAGAAAACGTCGGAAATCGAAATTCCGACCTAACTCTGGTATGTATAGTGGTGGTTTAATTATTTAAAAATAAATACGAAATTTCTTAAAAAGTAATTAAAATTTAAAAAAGCAAGAATACTTAAATAATAAAAGCATGAAGATTTTGTTTGTTAAAAATTATTTTAGTAAATAGATGTATTAATTAATTTTTAAAATAACAGAAAAAACATGATAAATTGGAATTAAATTAAAAATTCATTTTTAAAAAATTATAAATTAATCTTTAAATAAGAGAAAAATATTCTTAAAATTTAGATAATGTTTGATTTTATTTAAAATATGCCAAAAATCTCAAGAATAAAATTATTTTAGAAAAAATAATTTATTTTTTATCCCCAAAATTATTTTTTGATTGAAATTTTTGGCTTATTACTAGTACACATCCTTCCAATAATTCCACCTACCACTCCGCCAAAAATTGTAAATCCCACATACATCTGGCCACCCACAGGAAAACTAAACAAGCTTGCCACACCAATGTATTTCAGAAGAAGAGGTATAACAACCGCAAAACCACCTCCAATAAAAGAACCGAACCCTGTGTTTGTGCCCTTTTTATATTTTATACATGCCGCATTTGTTTTGCAAAAATTCTTATATAATTCTTCTTTTTCTTCATTTATTTTATTATTTTCACTCTCTAATTTGCTTATATCCGACTTAAGTGTTTTAATTGTCTTTTTGCATTCCTTTACTTCTTTTTTCAATTTTCGGCATTCCATAAATATTTTACCCAATTTTTCATCAATTGTCAAATTTTCAAATCCAATCTAAATAAATATTTAATTTTACTTTATTAAATTTTCTTAATTAATTGCTCACTCCCTCTCTCTTTATTCCACCCCTACCACTTCAACTAAGCGAAATAATTATTGCCATGAACAATTAATTTAGAATGAACGGTAAGACCTTTAAACATTTAAATAATTTAAATTTACATTTTCTTCTGGTTCATCTGCAGGATCACCAGCATTATCATTACCATTTCCTTGTTCAATTGCTACTAAATTTAGAAAAATATGTATTTAATAAAAACATTAATGGAAAGTATTTTTAGATATTTTTTTATTTAAAAATAATTAAAATTTCAATATATTTTTATTTTAAATTAAACTATTAAAAACATACATACAACCAAATTATTTACCTAATTCTTGTCCATTTCCCTCCACAACATTATTTTCATTGTTTTGATTATTCTAAAAATAGTTTTTTTAATTAAAATTAATTTCTAATATTAATTAATTTAGGAAAAGTTAAAATTTTTAAAAAACCAAATTATTGTTTATTAACTTACATCTTGATTGTTATCTCGTTGCCAATCATTATATCCTTGAAAAATTTCTTCAGTTACTTCAGGTTCGACCTAAATTTTTTAAATTTTTTTTCTATCCAAATAAAATTACATTTTCGACATTATAAGGAATACCATTAATTCGAAATTCGATAGTATTTCCCAATTCATTTAATACATTCTACAAAAATATTTAAATTTAAATTATTACTTCGTAAATTTAAATTAACTTTTAATCCTTCCGAATTTGGAGCCATAATAAAAATAATATAACTTAAATAATTAGATTATTTAAATTTATTTCTAAAAATTTTTTTAATAATAATTTAAATTACAAAAAATATTAACTATATTTTGCCGAATATTTATCGAATTCTCTATTACAGAAAAATAGAAATTCTTTTAATTTAAATAAATTTTTAAAGTGAAGGTAATCTGAGTGAATAAAATTTTTAAATAGATGTAGTATACATCTAAGTTTATCTACGAGTTAATTATTACGAAAAATTATTGATATCTAAATAATATACTTAATATAGTTAGGTACGTATTTGTGAGTATTTTTAACAAAATTAAATATTTAAATAATTAAACAATTTAGAGTAAGCAAATAAGATTTAAAAAATAAATTATTATTAAAAACTAAAATTTCACAGAATTCCTTATTAATAGTAATGTAAATATGTGTAGATGGTACATACATATGTATAAAACATTTTAAAATAAATCCAAAAACTTTATGTTATAATACTCAATTCAAATTTAATTATTAAAGTTTTAATTTAAAAAATAAATAAATTTTTTCTGTAAATATTTTTTAAATGATTTTAGAATAAAAATTTTTTATTTTATATTAGGAGATATTTGTAGAATGAAAAAAATGCTGGGAGAGGGATGAGTATTTTATTTAAATAAATTTTTGATTAAATTGTTAGATAATAAAGGAAAAACAAACCTTTATTTTATCCAATCATAAAAGGGGAATTAAAGTATAGTAATTAGTTGTTAGTTTAATATGAATAAAATTAAAAAAATGTTTTTAAACAAAGTGTTTTGTAAATAATGAGAAAATATTTTTATTTTTTCTTACATTTTTTTTGATCTTTCAACTTTTTAAAAATATTTTCTCTCTCTTTCTAGCTAAAAATGTTAATTTTATTTTATTCCTTTGTTTTAACAATTTATATATTTTTTATTTAAAGGAGAAAGCGCAAAGTTTTTTTTATCTATTTAATTTTTTAGTAGTAAAGACACCCTTTCTTCCTCTAATATTTTTTTCAAAAATAAAAACTTTTATCTGATCATCCACCTGCAATTTCTTATACTTTTTATTAAAAAAACTTTGTATTTGTAGACAAAAATATTTTGTTGAATGATTAATAGTTTGGATTGGAATTTTTGAATATTTACAAAAATAGGTAGATAAATTCTTTAAAAAATATACTAGGAGTTAATTACCTAATTTTATGCTTTTTTTACTAAATCCTTCAAATGAGAATTTATCATATCCAAAATAGGGTTGCCGCTCCCGAGTCGAGCTGACGGTCGAGGCATTTTTTCGGGCTTGTTTTTCTCGAGCCGGGCATGTACGAGTCTTTTTTGAGCCAAAATATCTTAGACCAGAGTCTATCCTTCGGTATGAGTCGGTCTTTGGCAACCCTATATCTTAGGCTCGGACACTCAAAAGCCATTTTTCAGTAAGATATGTATGGTAATAAAACCGTCAGAAATTAAAGAAACCCCAAAATAGCTGGAAATTTTATTTTTAGATTCAACATACACTGTGGTGCAAAAGTTTATATACACTATGGAAAATTTTCTTTAATGTACCGTATCTCGAGAAGTCGAAGTTTTATCGAGATAATTTTTTTTTCGCCTAGTAGTTTAAAAAGTGCTCTTTCTAATAAGCCTTAGTTTTAAAAATAACCCCCAGTACTTATTGAGATATACACCATTTCCCAAACTGCTTCAATTTTCTTCGGTGCAAAAGTTTATATACACTTTACAAAAATTGGATTTTTAGAAAAACAAATGGCAGGAAAAATACAAAAAAAATTCTGTGAACATTTTCATCAATACTGAGTAGAAAATAAAAAAAACGAAGTCCGTAACTGTTTTCATCATCGAGATCTCAAATCACAAAAATCAACGGGAAAACGGGGTACAGTACTTTAAAAATTATTTTAACCCCCCAGGGCTTATATAAAAATTTTCTTTTGGGCTCATTAGAAAGCCCATAAAATTTGCTACAAAATACCATTGGTCTCGTTTTTGTAAAAAAAAATCTGTATAGTATTTACGTGTGGGTAACTTACTGTGAAATTAAAAATGAGTAAAAATGTGGGGTATTTTGGAAGGTTTTGACTAAAAATGTTAAGTTATTTGAGATCTCGATGATGAATGTTAAGTTATTTGAGATCTCGATGATGAAAACAGTTACGGACTTCGTTCTTTTTTATTTTCTACTCAGTATTGATGAAAATGTTCACAGAATTTTTTTTGTATTTTTCCTGCCATTTGTTTTTCTAAAAATCCAATTTTTGTAAAGTGTATATAAACTTTTGCACCGAAGAAAATTGAAGCAGTTTGGGAAATGGTGTATATCTCAATAAGTACTGGGGGTTATTTTTAAAACTAAGGCTTATTAGAAAGAGCACTTTTTAAACTACTAGGCGAAAAAAAAATTATCTCGATAAAACTTCGACTTCTCGAGATACGGTACATTAAAGAAAATTTTCCATAGTGTATATAAACTTTTGCACCACAGTGTAAAAGGAAACACAAACACAATATTAAATATACATACTACAAGAAACAAAAAAAACGTTTGTTAAATCACTTAATTATCACTAAAACAATCCTTCATCTATACAGATTTCTTTATTTAAATTTCTTTATTCCTCTCATTCTCCCTAAATTTGTGCTGCAATTCGACATGTTCCTTTATATTATGTAGCGTTCTCTACTGTATAATTCATACAGTACGTCATCGACAACAATAGCATCAAACAAGAACTCGAGCTTGTGTTCCTCTCGCAAGTGAGTATTTAGCACCTTAAAGGTATAAAATGTTGAGAAATATTTCAAAATTATCACTCACGTAGCCAAGAGTGAAGGCACAAAAGACAATAATCACATACAACAGCAAGAGAAGTATTATAGTTATATACAGGAAGATGTCAAGAATCACCATTTCTATACAAACCAGCATCCGAAATTCTTGACGGCCAAGTAGTTACGGTGAGTTGATTGTTTGGATAAAAGTGTTGAGGAATTACAAAGGCTTATATAGTTAATCAAAACTATAAAAACAAAATTTTCAACATTTTACAGTGTTCATCTAAACAAACGCTGCTGCCAATTTTGTCCTCATCACAATAAAATGGGTTTGCTCACTATTCTCATGTATATACTGGCGATGATCTTCATTGTGTATTTTGCGTTCATTACTGGCTACGTAAGTAGACTTAACTCTTGCCTAATTAAAATTTCCTTATTTTTCAGTACACCAACACATATGTTCGCTTCCACTATGAATTAGAAATCATTCCCGATGAAGGCCAACCATATTACTTCAGAATTGACCGTGCAGGACAGAGCAACGCGATGAAGAGAAAAATTAGAGATGCCCAGTTGGGTAGCGAAGCTGGTACTGCAAACGAAAATACAGATCATGAGGCCTAAATAAATATTTGTCTAATTGTTCTGAATTGTAATATTGTTATGTATATTTGTTTGTGTGTATTGTATTCGATAAAATGGGGTTATTTCTTTATTTTTGGCTAGTTTCATTAAGCATAGAAATATTTGATTGTTAGTTAACCACATCTTAGAAACTTTTTATTAAAATCTGACTTCCACATTACCAATTAGGGTTGCCATGGTGGCCCAATCGGACCGAAAGATCGAGTCGGGCATAAGATATTTGGCCCGAAAAAGACTCGTACATGCCCGACTCGATAAAACACAAGTCCGAAAAATGCCTCGACCGTCGGCCCGACTCAGAAACGGCAACCCTGTTACCAAGCTTAAAAAATCTACACAAATATATAATTCCCAACCTTATATTTCTCAAACAAATTTCAGTAAATTAAAGCAAAAACAAGAAATAACCAAAACAATTTTCCTATTTTTAAGAGAAAAAGTTATACAACAGCCTAAAATCAAAAGATTGAGAGAAAACTTTTTTGTCCTTTATTTTTCGCTATTTTTAAATTTCGTCCAAATAGGGAGTTTGATTAATTTGTCCATAAGCAGATAAAGCAAGTTTTGCACAAAGTTTAGTTGCCGCCTTAAAATATTTTAAAATAAAAATTTTCTTTAAAATTTAATTTTTACTTTTTTAATATCCTCAGCAGTAACACTCTGCACAATATTTACAAACTCTTCTGGTGATTGAGCTGCGCCTTTAGCCATAACTTGAGAAGCTTGATCCAGTGCCAACAATTCACTTGAGTCAAACTTGCTTAAAGTTTGCAAAGCCAAAGTTTGTTTGGCTATCTAAATTTTTTAAAAATAAAAAATTTTGGGCCTTTTAACGGCAAGAAAAACTTTTTATTTAGGAAAAGGAAATAAGATTTAAATTAGAGTAGCACGAGACAGGTTAATGATCTCGTTTATTTTTCTTTGTGGCGAGTCCTTCTTCCTCTTTTCCCTTCTCTTTTTGATCCGTCACAGGGAAAAATAAACGAGGCCATTAACCGGTCTCGTGCTACTCTAATTTAAATCAACGCCTAAGGTTTTCCCTCGAATTATAAACGCAAAGTTTAAGGAACTACCATTAATCCCACCTTAAAATTAGGCTAATTAAAATTCAAAAAACCTGAATAAGTTCCTGATCAACAGTTTTTTCAGCAAGTTCACGAAGCCCTTGAACAGCTGCTTTAACATACGGGAAAATCTAAAAATAACAAATATCACAATTTTATTTGTTTTCAGAACCTTTTCGCCTTCCGCAACGAGATAAAAACCAACAAGTCCAATATCTGAATGAGAAATATTCACTTGAGATAAATGGAAAGGATTGTGATTCGCTGCTTTGAAAAGAGTTCGATGAACAATTGATGGCTGTGCAATATTTTGATAGTTTGTATATTGACCTTAAAAAATAAAGAAAAATATTTTTAAATGAAAATAAAAAATGTGCAAGAGTAAATCTAAAATTCCGATTTTATAAATAAGAAAGTCAGAGCCTTGTAGCAAGGAATTTCCTTAATCTCATGAGAAAAATTCTTCAAAATAAAATTGACAAAAAAATAAAATGGGTAATAGTGTCGTCTAGTGACCCATTTTACATTTCACCATTTTTTATTTTTATGTGCAATCAGGCACGCAAGAGCTACAGGCCTGGGTGCAATATGTAAATCAATCGAAAATACGAAATAGTCAAGAGAAGATTTTTTTAAATATTTTTTTTAATATTAGAACCTGTTTTGCCAATCAACTGAGCAAGAACAGATTGAATTGCAACAGCTTTTTCATCTTTAAAGGCGGCTCCCTCACCCACTATTGCAATATGTGCTAACTTTCCAGGTCCGAATTGACGAACTTCGCCACCTAAGAAAGGACTTGGATTGGCTGGATGGCCAGCCCCGTCCGGGACTACACGATGATCTGCCTTAAATTTAAACATAATTCTGATAAAAATATTTAAATTTAACCGCATATTCCAATAAAAGAGAATGGTCAATATTAACGCCAATCAAAGCTGTTTCAGCACTCTTCCAACGAGAAAGAACATAAGATTGCAATCTTTTATGTCCAACATTTGTGTCCGAACCAATTTCGTAGGATTTACAGAGAAGTTGATTTGCAAGAGAGCCATTCCTATATTTAATTTTATCAAATGAAAAAACGAAATATCTGATAGACAAGGTTAAACATGCCCATGGAATCTCTAAAACTCAACAATTTAATTTAAAATTTTTTGGATGATAGAATCACTGACCCTATCCCAAAGGAAGGGCGGAATCGTTTTTTGTCATTACCTGCAAGGAAAGGAAAAATGCGACGGATGGATACGGACAAACAAAACATGGACGGACTCGGGTCAGAACAAATACGGACTCTGACCTGAGTCCGTCCGTGTTTCGTTTGACCAAGCCCGTCCGTGTTTTGTCTGGACGGACTCGGACAGTCCGTTCGTCTCCATTTTTCCTTTCCTTGTAGGTAATGAAAAAACGATTCCGCCCTTTACTTGGCCGACTTTTACTTGAATAAAATTTAAAAAACCTGAAAGCAGCTCTATGTAAATTCTCGAAAGTAATATCCTCGGCCGTTTGATGTTCCAAATCAATTTCTAATCCTTTATGAACCTCAAAAATATCCCAAGGCTTAATTGCTGGCTGCACAATTTCCCCAAGAACAGAAAGAGCAATTGGTGCTTGTGTACGATTCTTTAAAAATTTATTAAATTAAAAAATAAAACAAACCACGCTCATTTGTACACAAAGCAAATCTTTGGACAATTTAGAAAATAAATTGGCTCCAGTCTGTGCAGTTTGCCAAAGAAGTCGAAGACCCAAATAATTATCAGAATCACTTCCAATACAATTACGTAACATATGGGCAACGCCTCCCTCATCTGGCTGTTGATAGCGTGAACCAGAACGAAAAGCGAAAACAAGTTGAGATACCGCACCCTTAAAGAGTAAACATTAAGGGATAAAATGGATGAGAATATTTTAAAGAAAACCTGAAGATCGACAGATGATATTGTCATGCCATTAGGGAGACGTGAAGTTTTCTGTTGAATTGGCTCAACAAGAGGATTTGGCTTTGCATAAGCTGCAGCTACAGAAGCAAGGCCACGACGAGAAATCATTTTTTTACTTTCACTAACCAACAAAACTAAAATTAAAATAAAATTGCAAGGGACAATAAGATAAGGTATAGAACTGGACTAAATCCAGAAAAGGATTGTGGAGTAATCCATCGAATTTCGTCAGCGGATGGACCATTCATCGAAAATAAAGGGTAAAGCCCAAATAGGCGCGCGGCCATAACGGCGCAAAGCCATAACTTGCCTCAAGATTTCCGAATCTTATCAAATTTAGTATTAAACGATTCCTCTCATCGAGCTAAAGAGATTGGTACCAAAATTTATACCGGCCAGAAATTTTCCAGCGAGTTGGGGATTTGCGCCGTTATGGCCGCGCGCCTATTTGGGCGTCCCGGAAATGGGTACGGCCCACCTTGTCGCGGGCCACCTTGTCGCGACCACCTTGTCGCGACCACTTTGTCGCAGGCCACCTTGTCGCAGGCCACTTTGTCGCAAAGGTTAAAATTTTTTTATGCCGCTATGGAGGAAGGTAGGAAAAAGACCTGGGACGATCGGGGTTTTCTGGAGTAATTTGGATAGGTTTTACTCTGTTAAAAGGATAAGAGAAAATAATAAAAGGAAAAACACTTAAAAACTTTATCAAAAAGATTGAAAAAGGACCATTGTCGCGCTTTACATATTTATTTGTTTGGTTGTTTGGGTTTGTTTTTCTTGTCGATGTTCTCCTAATTTCAACACCTTCGTTCCCTAGAAACTGCGAACTTGAAATCGCCAGTCAGAAACTGGCGGAAATCAACTAAAAATTAAAAAAAAGAAATAAAAACTTAAAAAACAAAATAAAAATTCGCAACCTTTTCAAAATTCCCATCGTTGTAGCAGTGGGATTAAGCACGGCACATGGCGAACAAAGTTTAGGCCGACCTAAAAATAAAAAACAAAAAAAGCCTGCGACAAAGTGGCCTGCGACAAGGTGGGCCTGCGACAAGGTGGCCTGCGACAAAGTGGTCGCGACAAGGTGGTCGCGACAAGGTGGCCCGCGACAAAGAGGGCGTGTCCCCCGGAAATAAAACATCGTAAAAAAATATCAAAAGGGTAAATCCCAAAAATGGTCAGAAACGAGAAATATGCCAAATGATCGAAACCTTTATTTCGTAAAATCAAAAATCGTTAAAAAGATAAAAATGTAAAATAAAACAGTAAAAAAGAAAATATAAATTTTCAAAAAATATTTATAATAGTTACTATGTATGTACATATGTATTTTATTTAAAAATTAGTAAATTTAGAGTATTTTTAGAATTTAAAAAAAAATTTAAAAAAATTAAAAATTCATACATATGTACAAACACGTCTTTTAAAAGAAATTTTCAAGAAAATCTAATAAACCAATTATTATCTCTAGGTCTATTATAATTTTCTATATCGTCCTTCTTTAAATATTCCTTTACAAAATTAATTGCGTTGATTTGATTTTTAGCCTCAAACCCTTGCAAAACTCCACTTTTTATATTTAAATATTGGCTATTTTCTTCAAAAATTAAATTAATAAATTCAGGATTGAAAACAGAATTAAATTCTGAATATTCAAAGGTGGAAGTGAATAGACGCTGAAGCCAGAAATAAATAAAATGAACTTCCTCCATTGTTTTAGGATTGTTCGGTATTTTAACTAGCTGACGAGAAGGGCGAAAATAATCTTTAAAATATTTAGAATTATATAGGTGTATTTTATAAAAATACGAGAACCCTCCCTATGAGTCAACTTAGAAACAAAGTCACCTACTATTTATAAGCGCCCTCTGATTTCTAAAAAATACCACTATAACTTTTTGAAATGGGGATCAGGGCCAAAAAAGCCGAAATTGGCAATAGGTTATCGACCAAGCTCTATAATAGAGACCGGCGCGGGACGGGATCACGACAGGATTTCCTGGGATCCCGAAATCCCGGATTTTTTTGATTTTCGGGATCCGGGATTTTTTTCAGGATTTATCCCTCGGGATCCCGTCCCGGCATCGGTTAAGAATTAAAATCCCGACTCGGATCTCGGAAGTGCGATTTTGCCGGTCTCTACCCTATACTGTGGTATTTTATTTAAAAATTTTTGTGGAAGTTCGAAAGGTTCCCTTGTTAGCTAAATTTCCAAAAAAATTTTCTTGAACATTTCCCCTTTTATTTTTTTAGAAAAATATTAAACCCCCCCCCCTCCCACAAAAAATTAAAAAACTAAAACCTTTTTTAATTAGTCTAATAGCAAATTCTTGTTCAGGTTCATTAATATATAGAAACAAAGGAATTTGTTTGTATATAATTGTTTGCCACTAAAAAATATTTAAAATTAATTTTAGAAAAATTTCTTACATTTCTTTCCTTCAAAGTCTTCACATTATTTAAATTATTAAATAAAAACATTCCAATTTTGTAATTAAATTTATTCCACAATTGTAAAGGAAAATATTCTTTTTTGTTTTCTTTTAATTCAATTAGACCAAATTTCCATATTAAATATTCATATTTTTTTAAATCTACCTAAAAAAATTTTTTTTGTTATTTTTCCGTTATACGATTGCAAACTGAGTACCAGCTGACTTTGATTGATTATACCTTTTTGATGCCTGATCCTATACAAATTAATTTTATATTATTCTAAAGCCCTAGATGTGAGGTATCTTTTTTCCAACTTGAAGGATCAGATCTGATTAGACATTAAAAAGTTATAACTCGATAAATCAGAAAAACATCAAATAACTGGACTTATCGGGTTATAAATTTTTAATAAGTGATCAGATTTGATCTATCCTATCCAAAGGTAAATTTTCCTATCAGAAAAATATATAGTAGCTTATCGAGGCCCTCGAATAATATAAAATTTATTTATTTGGATTAAGCAATTAAAAGTTATAGACCAGGGCTGATCGAAATTTCGTTTCGTTTCGTTTCGTTTCGCTCTTTTGTGCCCTTTTTTCCATTTCGTTTCGTTTCGGAACGAAACAGAAAAAAATTTATTTCGTTTCGTTTCGAAACGAAATAGCCAAAATTCTGGACGAAACGAAACAAAAAAAAGTGAGAAAATACACCCCTAATAACGGGAATTTATGGAAATAATCATCAATTTTTTAGTGATTTCTGTCTTATGAGCAGCCTAAAATTAAAAAATTTTTGCCTGCGGCGCTGAAAATGGAAGAAATTTGGCTTCTTGAGCTCCAAATTTCAAAAAATTTTCGCCTGCGGCGCTAAAAATGAAGAAAGCTTTTACGGGATTTGATAGAGCAGACCTCTTTACGGGTTTTGCTAGAGCAGGTCTGCTCTAGGTTTTGCTAGAGCAGACCAACCTACGATAGTACTCCAAATTGGATTAATTAAGGATTAAGAGGGATATGTGGGTATTGAGAATAGCCCTCCACGTTACCTCCACTAAAGTATCCAATTTTATTCCCTTTTCATCGCCGCAGACTAAAATTTTGAGGATTTTGTAAGGCCAAACAAGATTAAGGAGATATCGATGGAGCTAGATTTCTTTCTTTTTCAACGCCGCAGGTGAAAATTTTAAGATTTTGGATTTTAAGATTTTGGGCAATATTCCTTAAAATTTTGATAATTTTGGAAAAATCTTAAGGGATTAGTGATATTGAGGGAGATTTGGCAAGATTAAGGGGATATTGTGGTTTTGGCGAGATTAAGGGGATATCGGAGGATTTTGTGTATACTTGGATTTTATGGATAAAGTGAATATCGGTGGTATTGGGAGAAGGATATAGAAGATATCGCAAGGGATATAGATGTCTCTTTTATCCCTCTTGATCGATATCTAAAGTGGTATACTCCAAAGTAAATTTGGGTATATCGTGGGATTTTACTAGAATATCGGAGGATTAAGGGGGATATATGTCGATTTAAGGGGATTAAGGTGGATATCGGCAGATTTGTAGGGTCCACTCTTGTTTCTGCTATTATTTTGTCACGCATCTAGCTCTTGGGGTGCATTTTTATGATTTAAATATCGATTAAAAGCTTTTATGAACTGAAAAATAAATATTTTTTAATTTTTATTTTATTTCGTTTATTTCGTTTCGTTTCGTCCGAAACAAGCTCATTTCGTTTCGTTTCGCTCCGAAACGAAATAGGAATTTTTTTATTTCGTTTCGATTCGAAATAAAAAATATTTTTATTTCGATCAGCCCTGTTATAGACGGTCAAAGTCGGCTGGCACTCAGTTTGCGGTCGTAAATATAATAAAAAAATTTACAATAGAAATTGAATAAAATTCTTCTTTAGCCAACTTCTCACAATTTTTTTCAATTAATAATTTAAAATAAAAATTAATTTGTTGTAAAATAAATAATTGATCAAAATTAAGAAATTTAAGAATATCTAGTTTTACTTCCAAAGGCAAATTATTCATTTTATTGTTAGTAAATTTTTTTTTAAATTAAAAAAATCTCTAAAAATAAAATTAAAAATAACAAAATAGTATTTAAAGATAAATAAATGAAATTATACATACTTTAAATAAATAAATAATTAAATATTTATTAATTTTTAATATTTTAAAAGTATTATTAAAATGTAAAAAAACTTCAATGAGGTTATTAAATAATTATTAACGGTACTTTGTTCATATCATCCCGCCCTATCTCTATTTGAGTCTCAGATTAATTTTCCTTTTACTATTTTCTGCCTAGGAATTGTAAAACTTCCTTCTTTATAAATGATTATTTTTGCCGTTAGATTGATTTTTGCGGTGGCGTCTATTTTTTCCTTCATAATAAATGAATAACAGTAAAAAAGAAAATTAATCTGAGACTCAAATAGGGGTGGGGACGGGATATGATGGTACCTTATTAACAAATAAATTGAATAAGAAATATGAAAATAACAAATTTTTAGTCATAATTTATTGGGCAATTTAATTCTATTAAAGCAGAAGGAACTTCAATATTTTCTTTTTGCATTTCCTAAAAATTTTTTTGAATTCCAAAATTTTCAAAAAAAATCATTTTAAACTAACTTTAATTAATTCTGTAACAAGCCTCAAATCTAATAAACAATCAGGGTCAACTATTGTAATTGCTCTTCCTACATTCCCAGCTCGGCCTGTTCTTCCTGTTCTATGTACAAAATCATCAAAAGTTTTTGGCATCTTTAAACAAAAAATAAAATTTCAAATTTAATTTTACTAAAGAAAACCTCGTAATTAACAACTAATTCAAGTCCAACCAAATTTAAACCTCTAGATATTACACTTGTCGAAACAAGAATGTCACAATCGCCTTTTTCAAATGCAACTAAAGCTTCTTGACGTTGTCTTTGTGAACGTTCACTTAAAAAAATTTTTTATTAATTTTAAAAAAAATTTAAACCCGCTAGTTGGAATTGATTTCCATCCTCTAATAGATAATTTTAAAGCCAACCAATTTGTCATACGTCGAGAATTACAAAAAATGGCAACCTTTTAAAAATCAGAAAATATTATTTAAATAATTTAAAATTTAACCTTTTTACTTAATCTCCTCCAAGTAACTCCATTTACATCTTTATATATTCCTTTACATTTTGGTTTCAATTTTGAAAGAATTTCATCACATAAAACAGAAAATTTTTGATATTTTGTTGACTTAAAAATAATTTAAAATTTTGAATAATTATTCTTCTAATTTTTTAAAAACGGGAAATAAACACAGCACTTTTAAATTTTTAAAGGTAATGAATAGTGCTGTTCGGGAGAAGAAAAAACCCGGGAAACGGGGATCTCGGGAGACGGGAGGCCTAAAACTAGGGAAATTTTCCCGACTCGGGATACCCGAACATCACTAGTAATAAATTCCAAATTGGTCTAACTATTTAACGTTAATTATAAAAATATTACGTCCTTTTAAAAATTTTAAATTTAAAGAACAATATAAACGACCCAAAAGGATGAAATAGTAACGAGAGTTTAATGCAAATGAGGGGACAAAACTATACTCTTAACAATTTATCTTTTAAAAATAATTACCACAACAAATTTTTGTTTAACAGTTTGAGGTAAAACGTCTCTCCCTCCAATTGATATCATAAAATAATTTGGTTGTAAAATCCGTCCCGCATATTCCTCAACAATTCCATCAAATGTTGCAGAAAACATTAAAGTTCTATGTTTTTGTTCATTCTAAAAATATTTTTATTTTATATTTTAAATTCCTTCTTTAAACCTTTGTTGCTATTTCTTGTATTTTTAAAATGTCTCTAAAGAAAATTTCATCTTTTAATAATTTATCTGCTTCATCTAACACCAAAAAATTTAATCCAGTCAATTTTACCTTTAATTTAAAATAAAAATTATTTAAAAATATTTAAAACCTTCTCTTCAGATATAAATTGCATAATTCTCCCCATTGTACTCACAAAAATATCAAAACCATTACGCATTTCTTCCAATGATTCAGATATTCTAATTTCTCCATATGAACAAACTACTTTTAGACAAGTACCTAAATTAATTTTTAAAAATTATATTTTATAAAATGACATAAAAAAAATTCACATTTTTATGTCTAAAGTTCTTCTAAAATTCTCAAGGCCTTCTAAAATTGCCAAAATTTGACCCCGTGCCCACCCCCGAAAAAATTCTGGTTACGGGCCTGGTTAAAACTATTTTAGCGTTTCAAATGTCTCACCACGAGAAAAAACTTTTGCCGTGTCTCCAAGTTGTTGTGTTAATTCTCTAGTCGGAGCAATAATTATTGCCTAAAAATAAATTTAAAATAAAAAATTAAAAAAATACATTTGGTTCGTATAAAGGACTTCCATTAATATTCATCTTTTGTTTTCTTCTATGAAGTAAATGAATAATTGGAAATAGAAAAGCGCCAGTTTTGCCAGTTCCTGTTTGTGCTCTTGCTATTAAATCATAACCTAGTAAAAAATATTTAAATATTCTTACAATTTTATTAAAAATTTTAAAACTAAATTTGGCTTATTTCAGAAAAAATCCTATTCATTTAATGTGCTCAAAATATATTAGTTAAATTTATAAAAATCGAAACCTCTCTTTTTCTCAATAATAGGAATCACAGAACGTTGTACAAGTGTAGGCTTTGAATATCCTTTCTCCAATAAATTATTTTTCAAAGGTTCGACAAAATGAGTGAAATCCCTAAAAAATGGTATTTGTTAAACAGATCAAACTAGTAACTAAAAAGTTAGTTGTAGAGTTGTTCCCTGACGAGGGGTGGGGCATGAGGAAAATTTTTCGGGGAGGAGCGCCACGGAGAGGGGGGGATTAAATTCAACCCCAAATAGTTTGGAATACGGGAATAGACAATAAATATTATAATAATAAAAATTCTAAATAAATTTCTTAAATTACCTAATTTTTGGAAAAGTCCCATCACCACCTTTTAACCCAATCCTACTTTCGTCAGCATTCATTTGTTCAAATGCTGGCCCAGCGGGAACATTTCCTGCATTCTAAAAAATTAAATAATTTCAAAATTCTCAAACTTCATTGAAAAGTTCTTCTTGTGTCTTATTTGGGGCTTTGTATTTATGTTGACTAACTGAAGAAAAAAATAATTTTTTTAAATATTTTCGTTTAATAATCAACCTTTATTTCGGTAAATTGCATTTTTGAGAGCAGTTGATGTATAAGACTTTTTAGGTAACTTTTCGGCAGCTGTAGAATCGCCTTCAATACCCTCAAACTTTAAAAAAATATTTTAAATTTCTTTTACCAAATTTTAAAAAATACAATATTAGAAGATTTTGGAAGAGGTTGTCCAACACAATTATTAAAGCCGTTAACGTGAACTATTGGAGTTTCGTCATCTAATATTCTAAAATAACGATCTTCTAATTGTTGAGAAAAACAAATGGCACCCTCATCCATTTTATCCTAAAAAATTACAAATAAACTAGGCAGTTTTAATTGTAAAACTAGTTTTTCCCAAAATTAAAAATAATTTTTAGGAGAAAAATTAATTAGTTTTAAAAAGTAAAAGTTTAAAAACTTAACATAATTAATATATTAATTGAAAAAAATAACAACTGAGAAATCACCTCCATAGTTTTTAAAAAATTTATTCAAGTAAAAAAAGAAAGATAAATTGAAATGAATTTCTATTTATAAAAATATGTATGCAGGGAACGCGCCGACAGAAAATCAAATTCCCGATTTTCGGGAATCGATAATTCTCGAAAATTTCGAATTACGATTGTTCGTGAATCGGGTCGGCGCGATCTCTTATGTATAGTTATTTTAGGCAATTTTATAAAAAAATTTAAATTTAAAAAATTTTTAAAGTGAATTAAGCCTTATTATTTTCGATTTATTCGTCCTCTTCAAAAATTCCAGAAGTTTTCCAAGCTATTCCAAACTCCATTAGACCAACAATCCCAGCGAAAATTTCGGGTTGATGTGCTCTCACAAAGTCGCGTAAGCCCTTTATGAAATTCCAAACAAAAGAAGCAATACGACCAGCAATAGGGGCAATTAACTTTAAAATAATTTTTAAAATTTTTGAAATTTTATTTAAAAATACCGGCCAATAAAGATAACACAAAAAAGCAAAAACTGCACAAATTGCAGCAATACCAGCTATTTTTACGAACTTTTTCAATTCTTCCCAATGTTTGTCGTCTTCTTCTGATTGATCGTCAATTGTAGTTATGAGATTCTAAAAAAATTTTTTTCGTATAGGAATGAAAGGAAATATAAATATTTTCTCTCTTACTTAGAAAAAAAAGTTAAGAAATAATTTTAAAAAAATCTAAATAAAATTATTTAAAAAAATATACCAAAAGACAAGCATGTAATTGTTCTCGCTGCTCATCAGGCGAAAGAATGATATCAGAAGATGAAGATCCACAACAGTTATTTTGTTTGTAAATTCGGTCATAATAACTAAGAGCGATATTAAGTGCCTAAACAAATTTAATTTATCGAAAATAACAAAGAATACCAACAAGGAACCATTCTTTACTGTCACCACGAATTCGTTTTTTTGGTACCATTCGATAGAGGCTGATAAAATTTTTCTTAATAACCTTAATAAAAAATGAAGTTGCTCTTTTCTTTCTCCTTCTACCGCAGACTCTAACGTTCCCAAGGACTGAAACTTTGACTGGCCATAACTTTTTTTCAAAATTTTTTGCAAGAAAACGGATAGCACTTTGCAATAGTAAGTCGGGGGCCCTCTATCGAATGGTACCAAAAAATACCAAATTCGTGGTCACAGTAAAGAATGGTTCCTTGTAAGAAAATTTAAGAAAATTTGAAATGAAAAATTGATAAAAATTAAATTTTAGAAAATATTTTTAAATTAAAATTTCACCTCATTTTTAATATTTTCGGCTGGAAGATTCAAAACTGGACTGTCAAATTTAGGTGAAATTACATCAACAGAATTGTTATGTGCACGACAAAGTGGACATTCTTTTTTAATTTGAATTGCATGAGAAATACATTTTTGATGAAAAGAATGACCACAATTTCGAAGAACGGCCATTTCCGTTGTCCGGAAATTTTCTAGGCAAATACTGCAATAACCGATATTCATATTTTAATTTCTAAAATAATTTTTTGGAAAAAAAAATAAAAAAGAATTAGAAAAATGAAAAATCAGCTGTGAAAATCATTTTGCCAATTTTCTGCCAAAATTTTAAAATTAAAAAATAAATTTATTAGAGGAAGACTGGAGATTCGGCAAAATCACATTTCCGGGTCTCAATCCCGTAACGGGATTGAGATTGAAAAGTTCGACGGGCGGGATCCCGCGGGGTTAATCCCGTTCGTCGCTAAAAACCGGGGATTTCGGGACGGGATCCCGTAAAATTCCACCCGGGATTCCTCCCGTGCCGATCTCTAAGGAAGACCCATTTGTAAAGGGATAATTTGCACATTAATTTGTAAGTGTGGTTAATGCATTTGAGTTAAGTTTAAGAGGGGTGGGGGATTGGAATTTTAAGTTACTGAATGTTCAAATCTCAACTCCAACAAAAAAATTGGCGTCTTATATAAATAAAGAGTTATTTGGATTTTTCACCCTAATATTAATTAGAGGCCGGTAAAATCGAACTACCGGGATCCCGAGGGATAAATCTCAAAAAATCCCGGATCCCGAAAAACAAAAAAATCCGGGATTTCGGGGATCCCGTCCCGCGCCGACCTCTAATATTAACTACATTTTAGTTGTTGTTGGATTAAAAAACTATATGTAAATTGAGGAGTCGACAGTAAATGAGAGAGAGTTTTGAGACTTAAATGAGATTTGATAGTTGAATTTGAATTTTAAGTTGAATTTTGAGAAAAATTAAAATTTAATTTTTAAATTCGAATTTAAATTTCTTAAATTTTGAGACATACTATTGGTGTAATTGTATTTTAAGTTTTGTGTAGGTGAATTAATAAAATTTTAATTCCGCAAATTAAATTAACATATTTAACGAGAAGATTGACAATGTTAAAAAAATATTGGAAATAAAAGAATATTTTGTAGATGGACCTAGGTTATATTTTTGCTCTTTTCTTTAAATAAAAATATAAATAGCTGAAACAAAGGAATATAAAATTAACATTTCTAGCTAGAAGGAGAGAAAATATTTTTAAAAAGTTGAAAGATCAAAGAAATTGTAAAAAATAAAGCATTTTCTCATTAAATGTAAAACATTTTGTTTAAAAAATTTTTTTAATTTAATTTTATTTGTATTAAACTAACAACTAATTACTATACTTTAACCCCACTTTTTTGATTGGATAAAATAAAGGTTTATTTTCCCTATTATCTAACAATTTAATCAAAAATTTATTTAAATAAAATACTCATCCCTCTCCCAACATTTTATTTTTATTCTACAAATATCTGCTAATAAATTAAAATAATTTATTTTTTATTTTAAAACAATTTAAAAATATACAGAATATTTTTTAAAAACTAAAACTTTTTAATAATTTTATTTCCTCAAATTACCTTTCACTTTAAATAAAAATTATTTTTACTTAATTTAAATTTAAAAAAAAATTTAAATTTAAAAAATCCTTTAATTTTTTTATAATATATGATAGAAAATTCGATAAATATTTGGTAATTTATAGTAATATCTTTTGTGATTTAATTGTAATTTTATTTTTAAATAAAAATTAAAACAATTTTTTAAAAGTAATTTTATTTATTAAATTAATAATTTAATTATTCTATAATTATTTCAGAAATTATTTCTTTTTAAAATGTCTTCAAATTCAAGAGAATTAAGGGTTAATTTAAATTTTTAAAATACTAAATAAAATTTAATTCTTTATTTTCTATAGAATTCATTAAATGATTTGGGAAATGACTTGGAATTTCATATTAATCACAATAATGATAATAATGGAGGTTGCTTCTGTAATCGTGTTTTAAATTTGCCATTAGGCATGATGGAATGCTGCTATACCATTGGGCATAAAAAATGTCTAATAAATTTTGTATCATATTGTGAACGTTGTCCTTCCATGGATTGTCTAAAAGAGGCCAAAAAAGAAGATGTTAAAGATTTTTTACGAGAAAATAATTCGACAAATAATGTTTAGTGAATTAATGAATTTAATTAAAAATATTTTTAAATTAAACAGATATTGTCCATGTTGAAAAATTTAGAGAGAATGGTGGTCAACTTTGTTAAAAATGTTAGTTTAGCTGGAAGAAATTTGAGTTTTAAATAAATGGAAAAAAGAATATTTGAATTTATTTGTGGGAAAAAAATAAAGATAAATTTAATATTTTTTAAATATTTTAAATTATTAATTCCAAGTTAAGTAATTTTTATTTTTTATTTTAAATTTCAGAATTTTTGAATACTTTGATAAAATTACAACTTTTAGGAAGTTGGAAAATGTGAGTGTTTGTAATATAGGGCCGGGGTTTATAAGGACTAGGTTGGATCAAGATGAATGACACAAGGGAGATGAATCAAGGATTTTTAGGATTTAAGAGTATTTAGAGAGATTTGGGTAGGTTTCGCCTTTCGTCATTTGCTGAATTTCGCTTTTTTTGGACTTTTTTCTTTCGCCGTTCGCTTTTTTTAACAACCTTTGGCACACCCAAGATATAATATAACTAAATACAACCTTCAACTTATTTTTAGATTATAAAACTTGTCTAATAAAGATAATAAAATTTGCTATTAAAATACATATGTATGTGGCTAGTATTTCGTATATTAAGTGTATATATAAAAGCCAACTCCGCTAGTTTTTTCAAATAATTGGTGTTAAATAATTATAACCCCTTCTAAAATTCATTTATCAATCGAAAAATCCACAAAAATTTCTTTAAACAGATCTATCAATATCGATAGGTAATACAAAAGAAACTAAGTTCTCATGTACTCCCATCATTGAGATCGCAAATGTAAAAATCAACGGAGAACAAATGCAGCCGTCTTTAAAAATATTTTCGACCTCTTATATGTATTTTGTATTAAATTTCTATTTTATGCTTTTATGAAAGCCCCCTAAATTTGCTATTAGAATTCTTAAATGTTAGTATGCCTAAAAGTTTTACGAGGGAATCCGTGCTAAATTATTATTATCATATATTTAACGACAAACAAAAATGACAAGAAATACTTCAACAACATATACATACAATATTAATACAAGATATTCAAGAATTATAGAGAAAAGCATCATTCATCTTTCACTTCTTTCAGTCATCATCTTCACTATCAAAAGATGGAGATGACTTTGTCACACTATGTTGAGTAAATATGTTGCGGTCAAGACTGTTTAGCGTCTGAAAAAGAATTTAAAATTAAAAACTCTTCTCTACCAACAAAATTCACCTCATATTGATATCCCTCAGCCATACCCTCCTTTTTGCCAAACTTATCCTCTTTCAGTTTTGGCTTGGA